ATTGGTGCATAAGACCAGACCCCACGGAGCTTATTTTACAAGATATCGTGTGCGTACTTTTCTCTCTCTCTCTCTATATATATATATATATATATTCTTGTAAATACAAGCGTGTGATGTATGTGTTCTTTATTCTCCGCTTTAAAATTACACGTACGATCCTTATATGTACTTCAGAGGACGATGGAAAATTGGTTCACCGTTCTCCGATCCATAAACAGATACGAATCCGATCATAATATAGTTCACTTAATATATCTTATAGATAATAGAACATCAATGTAGATTGATAAGTAAAGATTAGACAAATTTGTACGAAATTAGTCATCGTAATAATAATAATTTTGACTCTCGAGTAATGGAAAAAAAAAAAAATAAAAGAAGTTAATTATTTTGTCTTATGTTAGTTCATTCATTCAGTCAGTCAGTTAAAATATGGGTCTGCGAAAAGTGAACGAAACGAGGGTTAATTAACAGCAAAGCTATTTAACTTACGTTTAATTGAAAGATATATTATGACGCTAGTGAATAAAATAACTTAGCACGTATACTTGAAAATATTTATGCACGTATTGTATTATACATATTTTTGTTGATGTTTTATATAAGGAAAATGGTGTCACGTTATCGTACTTTCGTGACTTTCGACTTCTGCATGGTCGAACCTTTTAATAGAGCTCTCCGGTTAATTCGAACGAGAGGAGACTTCATGGTGTATTAATGAAACGATTCCATAACTGAAAGTAGAGCGTCCTTTCATTTGAAACAGTGGGAAAGCACATGTTCGTAATACCGTTAAATACACCTAAACATACAACACCTAAACTTCCGCTCGTTCTTACGATCAATGAAACTACTTTTTTTTTTTGCTTTTATTTCTAATTTTATTATCAACCAATCGAGTTCATTTCCCGTAACGTCAAACACCCGAACATTATTATTTTATTCGATTATTATTCTAATTGAGAGATCGTTTAATATCACATACAGATGTTTAGTTATTTTCTTTTTTTCTTTGTAGGAAAATATAACGTTTTAATTTGTAAATAATAAATAATATATTCTTTCAAATAAATAATTATTATTATATATATAATATATATAAAGTTGAAAGAATAGAAACCGTTAGGCAAGATATTAATACGTTCGACATAGCATCAGTATTATAGGAAGGGAAATGCGTGATTAGAAACTAGAAATGATGACCGCTAAGTACAGTGATTTTATTTAACGTCACTGTTCTATGCTTCCACGAGCATGTTAATAACGTGAACGATATAACGTGCGAAAAGCGGCAAATAACTGTCTGCATCTATCTTCTGTTGGTCTACAAAAAAAAAAAAGATGAGAGTTTAAACACAGTTCTAAACGATCCTTTCAACAATCGTTTCTAAGCATTAAGAGTATCGTTTCTCGAAAGAAAGCCACCGTAAAAGTGTTCATCGTTATTCTAGATTATAATTGATCTACCATTTGCTAGTATATATCATGTATTACATAGTAAATTAATTTAACATAACTATATGAGTACGATTAGTAACAAGAACAAATTTTTACAGTCACATTAATATAACATTCGAATCATTTTATAAATTATTAAAAAGTAAAAAGGAAATAATTCTGTAAAATAAAACTCGGTGCGTAATAAAAAAAAATACTTTTACCGGATGCAATAAAAATTTTAACATCTTTTTTTTTTTAGAAATCTAATAAAAATATTAATACACGATTGAAGAGAAAACCCGAATATCGAGTTAAAATAAATAGAATAAATGTTTAAAACAAAAAAATACTAATTGTAAAATAATTATTTCACTTATGACAATGATTAGTGAACCAACGTATTTTTTTTTGGTAAATAATTTACACCAGATATAGGGGATATAAAAATTGATCAGAATTTTACGAATTTAGTACAGATGATTAAAATATATTATCGAGTTCAAATAAATGGAATAAATAATCTTCTTAAAGTAAGTTGGAATTCCAAAGGATTCAAAGTATCGATACCCACTCGTGGACACCCACTTAGGTTGCTATTCCTAACGTGGATAGTGGACATCGAGGTCAGTCAACTGCAACGCGATGTAAGCTATGCGTTAGTAGCGTGCACACATAGTGGAATTAACACGTAAGCCTCTTATATATACGCGATTGCATCCGTGACTCTCACCGTTTCGTGTTCATTACGATGATTCTCGTTCGCTGCCTTGGAAGGTCAAGGAAGTTACTGAAATATTTTTCTTTTTTTCTTGTTCTTTTACAAAAGTATTTCTTATCGTTTTGTTTCGTTTTGCAAATATGTAATAAATCAGGACGTGTTCTTTTTCGTACGTTTAGTATTACGTGTAACGAATGCCAACCGGTTTAGACCTTGACACTTATCGCAAATAGATAAGAAAACGTTGTCAGTTCATTTCATTACTATACGTATATTCGTCTGTCTGTTTCTCTGTATATATGCATATATATATATATATATATATATATATGTGGGTTTATATTTGCAATACGTATCGCAATATGTGAGATAACAACGCTTTAGCACTTATATATATTTTTTTGTTCTTTCTTTCTTTTTCAATATTGTATAATAATTTTTTAAACAGAACAAAATATTTGTAATTTTCTACGCTCCCTATTATTTATTTTTCTCTTAACGAATTGTCAATTTTAAAATACGTATACGAAAAATATATCTCAAATATTCGTGAAAAATGATTATTAACGATTATCGTCTAATGATAATATTATATTTGTAAATTGTAATTAAAATTTCATTAAGTTTTATATAGACGGATTTAAGTATACTTTATTCATACTGAAAATTCCATTAACGCGTTTCTTATAATCTTCTCATGAAAAATAAATATAGTAAATGTCGTTAACAACAAGTGGGTCATGGCCAGTTATTTGGACGACGTTCACTTCGTGAACGTGAACTTCTCAGCGAAATATATTCCTCTTTACGATTATTATGTGTTTCCAATTGGAAAGGGGAACAATTCAGACGTTTTTCGGAATGTTTTTATTGTAATACGAATAGAGAAATAATAGTTTCTAGGACGAGGTATATTTATTGAAGATTTTGCGTGTTGTATTTTAATTGAAAATCGAGCCGTTACGAACGACGAAACGTTGCTACTTAAAATACTTACTTTATACCGCGAGAATTTCTCACGACATTCAGAATCGTAATTTTTTTCTCTCTCTCTCTCTCTCTCTCTCTCTCTCTCACTATTGTTTTACCTTCGAGTCAGCAAATTCCGTTCGAAAAAAATGGAATGAAAAAAAAAAAAAAAATATATGTATTCTCGTAACGTTTCATTCGAAAGAAAATAATTAAAGTACAGTAAAGTACAGTGAATCTCAGAATTATTTGAATATTCTTGAAAATCGAATATAACATTTTTTACATTACAAAAACGAAACTTTAAATTTGTTTAAAAATTGAAAGAAATTAGATTAGATTATATATGTATAAAAAATATAATGAAATAGTAAAAGTTTCTTTCTAATAATTATTATTAAATATATATATATATCGTAGAAATTGATAAGTCCTCCAAATCTAAGTGAAATGTTTTACGATATTAATGGCAATATAATCACGATTTTATAGATCATTTAACAAGTGTAACACCACGTTCTAGAATTGGCCAATTTCACAGATACGCATGAAAAGCAAACGTCAAAAGTTTCCAGCGAATTTCTTTTGCCGATTATACTTTTATTATTTTTTTAAATGTTCTTTTTTTTTTCGTTGAATCTCAATACTTTTTAACTAATACATCTATATACAAAATAACATATATAATAATATAAAAGAATCCAAATATTTCTATAGAATTAAAAAAAAAAACGTATAAGAAAGTTCAATAAGTTTTTGTTGATACACTTTCGAAAAATAAACGAGTCAAGATCGATTTTCTTCAAAGGAAACACGATGATCGACCACTTCCTTTCCGCGTCTGGTATTCATCTGCCAGAACGGGATGGCTTTTCATTGGTAAGAACGACTTTCTCCGTGTCGAAGGAAGTATTGAAGCACGTAAAAGCATTCTTATATATTCGTAATGGATATAAAGATAAACAGTATAAATTTATATATGACTATATATATGTAAATACATTTAACTATTATACGAGTATGCTATTTAATGAACAACTATAATAACAATACCTTAACACCAAACATCACGTATCACAATTATATTTATACAATAAATATACATGTTACGTGTATTAGTATATATATATATATATTATATGCAAGTAATATTAGTTAATAAATTGTGTTATGCACGAATGCAATTGAGAGTGATTGGATCCGCCATTGTTGCGGTTGAAATGAAAAATCACCTCGACCTTGGCGGACGTTGGATAGATTGGAACCAAGTATAATATTAAGTAGTAGTAACAACGACGTGCCAATTCTAATCGTATGATTTAACGAAACAACAATGAGTTCTCAAAATAGATATGAATCATGGATCGTAATAAACGTTTTGTAGAAACTTTTATAACTCCATCGTGATTATTTTGACGTATCTAAGAAATTATCTACGATAAAAAGCGCTAATCCATGTATCTGTGTATTAATGTTAAAAACATAAGCTCACGTACGTCACGTGCCAATACGTGTATATATGAATAATTGATCGGTTACTTTGAAACGATATTATAATCTTTATTTTTCTAACAAAGAAAATATACTTTCTATTGATATACATTTTAATCGTTCATAATTATTTCAAAGATAAATAAATAATTCTTACTTTCAAATAAATTAAAGGAAAATGATAATATTTGAAAGTATCTTTGACTAAGATTATAATATATCACATATTTCCTACGTATATGTTTGTGTCATTTGAGAGTAAGAAAAACAAAGGTTCAATTTCAATAAAACACTTCTATCATCTTATTCGTCGTTTTTAACATAATCATGATCATGATCATCATCATCATCGGAATTATCTTTCTAATGATTCGAGTATACCTATCACGATATCCTTGTGAATGTATGCATATTTCACGTTGACGTCACTAAAGCTCACCTCGTCCACTTTTTCTTCCTCCTTTTTTTTTTCTTCTTCTTCTTCTTATTGCAAAGGTATTCGGCCATTCCAATCGCATAGTTTCGAAATTTAAAACCAGCGAACGATAATACGAGAATCGATCGTAATAAAAAAGTTTCCAAATTTATAAAAGATAATTCATCTATTGAGAAGATAATTTTGAAAAAGAACAAATGTGTAAAATCTCATCTTTATATACGTAATTTGACAATAAATGTAAATAATTATCATATCTATTCTAACAAATAAACACAAATACCTTTAAATAAATTTAAATAAACCTTTAAATAAATTAAATTTCTGATATTATCCAGATAAAAAAAAAACAAAACAAAACTCGTTTGTTATCGAAAAATTGACGACATGACTGGATATAAAAAAAAAAAAAAAGAAGAATAATCACACTTTTCGTACATACCCAGGTAGGAGGGAAGAAGAACACGTCAAGCGAATCTCCTCTTGAATGGTGGTCGCAGCAAACACGAATACACACATACACGGTTTTATATAGATTACAAAAAAGATATATATATATAAATGTATATAATATATAATCATATATAATTATATATATAAAATATAAAGATACACACACGAATATATAAGGTAAAGAGAGTAAAGTTGTGGGTTAGCTGTTTTATCGCGTAGCGGGAGCACAAGCGAAACGATTTTATGGGCGGAGTCGGTGCAGCCTCCCGAGAGGATATTTCCCCAGGAATTTGCATACAATCCTGTCGGAGCGCGATACTACTCCCGACACAAGAATTCCGCGAGTGGCAAACAGCTAGCTAGTAAGCTAAGCTAACTAGAAGAACTGCTACCCAACAACTCTCTGGAAAGTCGCCTTAGCACTTCCTTTCTTTCTTTTTACAAACCCTTCCAAGTATATCTATCTTTTAACTTTATCTTTTCACATTAAAGAAAACGTTCTTTGTTTGATACAACTTGTTTGTCCAACAGTATATTATCCCATACCACATTCACTATTAACTATTATTATATTTATTTGTCTTCTTCTTTTTGCATTTGCAGCGATTATTTTTCTTTTCTCTTTTTTTTTTATTATTCGTCTCCTTTCAGGTGTATATCAAAAAGAATTGCTGAAGAGAAGAGGGAGGGAAAACAAAGAAAAAAAGAAAGAAAAAGAACGAAGGTCAAAGGAATATCCTATGGGTTCCTATAGTGGGTTCTTCTTGAAGAAAATAACGTTAAACTTTGAGGAGGATGATGATACTTGTGTGGAATCGATTATGCTTCTTATTTTGATGTTCTCTCTCTCTCTCTCTCTCTATTTTTCTTTACTTCTTTCTTTTTTTTTTCTTTCTCTCTATCTTTCCCTGTATCTATTGAGCAGCACCGTATACAATGATGCACAACCACCTTACGCTCGAGAACCCAAGCGAGCACTGCTCGCGCCAACAGGTGAGCCTCGGCTTCAGCCACTGTCGACAATTTTAGTCCCAGTGACGTATCAACCGGTGTGGCGTCCTTAACAAGGGCAACAGGTGTTTAAACGGATATGTTTCTACTCTCTTTTTCTCCCCTCTTTCTTCTCTCTTCCCGAACCCTTTCTCACTACCTCTCTTTTTCTATCTTTCTATTACTTTCTCTCTCTTTCTTTCTCTCTTTCTTTGTCTACTTTCTTTCGTAGCTGGTTTAATTTTCTTCGTTATTTAATAACTCTGACAATCGTTTGTCACTTAATTAAATTTATCGACCAGTATTGTTTTGCTTTCAATTATTTCTTTTTTTTCTTTTTATGTTTCATTTTATTTTTTTTCTATTTCTTTCAATTTGTCTATTAGGGATCGTGTTTGAATTGTTCAAAAAAGAAAATTGCTGATATAATTTAGATTAATGTATTTCGTTTTAATTAAGTTATTTATTCTCGTTGCGCCAAAATATTAGCTATATATTGAGGTTAGTAATATTTAAAATTAATACATTAAATAAATTGTTGGTATTTATCATACCGACAAAAATTATTATTTGTATTGAATAAAAGATAAATATATCATTTTACCATTCGTTTTATAAAATATTTACAAACAAATTTTTAATATACCGCGATCAAATAAATAGAAATGAATAATAATATTCTATTTCTCTTTATATATATGGTATAAATTTTTAAATACTAAAATCTTTACTAAAATTGGTCGCAACAATTATTTGTATCTATTTTCATTTTTTCCTTTTTCGTTATAATAATTCTACGCTAATGGAGAATGCAGCCAGCGACATTTATTAAATTTCTGCTAGCAGTTATGAAATTTACTCACGGTTTGAGTCATCAGTTCAATGAGAAACGCACAATGCACTTCGTTGATTCTAATGCGTGTCATTTGTTTTTCTTTAATTTTTTTTTTCCACGAGTTGTCTTTGAAAGCAAAGAGGAGGAATTTATCGAAATTAATTCGAACGTTAGAACGTTCGATGAACGTTGCGTTTGTTTGGACATTTTTTGAAAAAATTTTTGATGATGATTCTTTTATGTGCCTTCTAAAAAAGAAAAAAAATATATCAATCCACTCCAAAGATAGTTTTCATTGTAATGTGTCCTAGTTTTTGTGTTAATAGATACGACACGTGTCGTTGATCCCATAGTTAGATCATTCGACTCTTACTATTTTGGGATCGTTCAGGGAATATCATCATCTTCTCCGTTTTAATTTGTATTTTAAATGTGGAACACAATTTACTTTGCACTTAATTGCACACTATTTGTTCAATGAAAATTTTTAAATGCTCACTTTACTCATTCATTATTTAATTAGTTATTAATAATTAAAAAAACGAAAATTATTTTTCCTATTTCTAAGCAAAGCAACGAAGTTTACAACAGCAGAAAAAAATTACTCACTATTTGCTCATCTTTATTTTATCAAATATTTATTATTTATCGTTAACTAGTTGAAAATAATTATTACACTTTGAATAATTATGAAATAGCGACGTCATGAGTGAGAGATATGTTATACACGTGCACAACCACAAATTCAAGGAGGCGCAAGCACACTTGGAAAAAAATGAAAGTAAAGTTGGCATACCTACAGGGGATATATTTAAAGTTGATTTCCAAAGTAACAACCTATAAGATAGTGAAAAGAAATAAGTTAATCGTTTATATTGTATAAACAATAGATAAATATTTTCATTTTTTCATTTTTTTCTGCTGTTGCGATTCTATGCCAACTTTTTTGTAGTAAAGTATATAAAAACTCACACAAGTCCCCGTTTTTATCTACTCAGCATCATTTTTGTTACCACTGGGACCACCATTGGACGATAGTATGTATCTAACGCGATGACGGTACAATACTATCAAAGAATACAATATTCTTTGATAGTTATATATAGTATAGTTATATTGTAAAAAAATTTAAAATAATTATATTTAATTTTTAGTGTCTAAATACGTGTGTGTGCCTTCAGAAATGCATTTATACATATATTTAAAAAAATAGTCATTATTAGGAGCACAAGTAGAAAAAAATCTCAAGAATTTGTTGTTAAATCCAACGAAGATCACCTGTAACAAGAAGAAAACTATATTAATCATATAATCAAGTAATATAATAGCCTGGCATATAAATCGTCCAATTCGCAGATGCACTTTTCAATTGAATTCTATATTTATTTTGATCAAATCTCTATATTAATCGTTGCAATGAAATTAAATTTAAATGCGTGATTTTACATTTACATAAAATATATAAAAATAAGGAAATAGGAAAAGTACAAATATTAAGTTACTACAAAAAATAATATCTATTAATTATTATGAAATACTTTAAAGTTGCATTATATAGAACAGAAAAATTGCAAATTTAATAAAATACGATCAAAATGACAAATTTTAAAGACGAAACAAGAAAAAATAAATTACCGTAATATTTACCGAACGAAATTTAATATTACGAAAATTTTAATATTTTTGACTCTAACTAACACATATGTATCTTTTGGACAATATAGACACGAATTTGGTGTCCCAAGGAGATGGAATGATCCATCATCTCCAATTACAACTACAAATTAATGACGAGCAAAAAAGTAATATAATAAAATATGACTAGAGAGCTATTCTCGAAAAGTTCGAACTTGGTGTTGAACCTTTGAAAATAACTCAATAGTCTGTCTAGTAGTTGCCCACTTGATACCACAAATTTGTGGGGGCCTCTTCGGCATTAGCCTCTTCGGCATTTAGCCTCTTCTTTCTTCATACCCTAAACGCTGCTGTGAGGCTTTTTCTAACATTTACTCGAATGCCTCAACAGATATTYGATCTAATCGATGAACCTATTATTAACACTTTGCATTTAAAAAATTAAATAATATCAAACAAAAGCAGAAACTTTGTAATACATCTTATGGTCTTACTTTTTTACTCGACCACTTTTATCTTTTATCTTTACTTTACTTTGTATTTACTATGCATATATAACAAATGAAGTACTCGGTAAGAATTAATAAATAATAAATATTTGATAAAATAAAGATGAGCAAATAGTGAGTAATTTTTTTCTGCTGTTGCAAACTTCGTTGCTTTGCTTAGAAATAGGAAAAATATTTTTCGTATTTTCAATTATTAACAACTTTTCTGCTGTTTATGTTTCTTGTCAGTGTTCCTACGGTTAATTTGATCACATGCCTTTACGATTTTTAATTTGAACGTTCTCCTTACCGACAGAGAATACAGAATTATCCGTCAATGATAAAACTGGTAATCTCCAGATGGCGTACCTCTTACCATTTATTGATTTTTTTTTTTTTTAATAATTCTAAAACTAAATGCATGTTTAGTAATAATAATTAAATTAGCTAACAAGAATGAAAAAAAAATGTGCAGTATAAAATAATTTAGGGAACTTTGATAAAAATAAGCGAGATCTATTGAATTCGATGTTTAATAATATTTACTAACGTTTCGCATTTACAAGGTCTATAATTCTGCATTAAATTATATACAAATTCATTGTCAATATAATATTACTTTTTTTTATTGTTTAATATTATTATTAATTTAATGATTTTTACAAATTTGTATTAGAGTATTAGTATTAATTTGTGAAACTTATTTTACACGAGCTGCGGTGTCCGAGTGGTTAAGGAGTTGGACTCGAAATCCAATGGGCTTTGCCCGCACAGGTTCGAATCCTGTCCGCAGCGTAACTTTTTTTTTTTTAATATTTTTTTAGATTTACGTAAATCAATAGATATGACGATATATTTATCTTTAGTTAAATGGTTCGAGTAAAAAAATGTCTTCGTAATATTAACGTGTAAGTAATTTTTTGTTTATTGTTTAATTACACAAAAAAGCTACATAAAAAAGCGGCTATAAATATGTAATTTTTTTTTTTTTATTCAGCATGCAAATATTTTATTCTTGAATAACGAATCTGTGATGATTTTTATTAAGATCCGTTTAATATTTATATTAAGATTAGATTTCATTGTTTTATTGACAATTATAATATTCTAATTATTCTTCTATAGTGTCTGCATTTTCCGTACAAATTAGACAAATTTTTGTCTAATTTATAATTCAAGCAAAATAATAATGATCAAAGTTAATTATTAAAATGCATTGTTTTATTATTACATTTAAAACAAAATTTAATTAAACAATTTAAATTTAATTATACAGGATCAAATTTATTATATTATCACTGTCCTATCAAAAATTAAAACCATTTCATATCTGACACGCATTTAAGAAAAATTTATTTTTTCAATGTATATGTAAAAAATAGGGTAAAAAAACGAGATTATTTTTTAATTATAAATAAAATAAAAGTAAAAAAAATTTTCATTGTTTAAAATTCTGTCAGTATAATAGAACGATTGTTTGTCACGTATTATTTCTAAAAATCCATAGATAGCATTACAATCTTTTCTCATCAAAGTTTGACGAAAGAAAAATACTAAAAACATTTATGCACTCTTTTTGTCATGAAAATAATCTAGTCTTAAACTTGTTAAATTTACATTGCGAATAATGATTCTGAAAATTATGGCGGCTACCAGAATAGAGTTTGCAGAAGACCATTAAACAATTATTTTAATTTGTTCGAAAGAAACTATCAAGAAGAACTTGATGCAGTAGCATGATATTTAACGTATTAACGAAGTGTTAAGAATAAACGAAGCGATACACATACTACTGTATATATATATGTACACATATGTATATATATACTTGCATAGAAATGGTCGGTAGGTTTTGTAGAAACTTGAGAGTCGTTAAAAGCAACATTGATTACGTGTCTCTTTTCCATGACCCTGCTGTTTGGAGAGGCATTGAATATTTCTTTCTTACTATTTCTTTTTTTTTTTGTTTTTTTCAATTTTTTCTTTTTATGCGTACGCGACATTTATTTACAAAAGTGGCGATAAAAATTATTATCTCTAATTATTAAAATTTCGTTTAATCATGATAAATAGTTATTTGACTTATATATCGACGTACTGTTAAATGAAATAAAATACAATTTATATTTTTTCATCAAAAAGGGAATTTTTATTAATATTATTTCATACTGAAAAAAAAAAGTTATAAAGGTCTCTCGTAAACATGAATTGTCACATCAAGAGTCAATTTTTATTTCTCTTTTTATCAACAGAAAAATAAGAGGACTCCAATAAACGTGAATTTTCAAATGATAGAGATAATTTTATTTCACATCAAAACGACATTCGTATTTTTTTAAATATTTTTTTGTTTCTTTTGACAAATAATAAAAATTCTCATATAAACATAAAAACAATTAAATGTTTTTCTTTATATTATTTATTTTTATTGTTCAAATAAAAGGAAAATTGAAGGAAACGTGATAGAGAAAAAGGTAGGGTTGAAGAAAAATGAATCGTAAAAATTAATTTTTATTTTAATTATTAAATCACAAAATTACAATGGTCGAAGAGTTTGGTGACGATTAGAAAAAGGACTTTTAAAATAAGCCTATTATCGTCGTCATTTGTGTAACCTAATTTGGAACATGAAACAACATTCTTGTTCTTGCTCATTCCACATTTTCCACTTGAGGTCGTACATTCTCTGGAAATAAAATAAATGAAATCGTTGAAATAAATTCGGCATACGAGTTAAGTGTTTCGTTTCATACGAGACAGGATTCTCCTCTCGTTGCAAAAGCTCTTATTCAATATATATATATATGTGTGTGTGTGTGTATGTGTATTTAAGTATATATATGTAGTATATCTATGTGTATGTTATCTCGGTACGATGATAACAAGAGAGAAAATGGCGCCATATTCATAATATTCGCTTTTAGGGAGATAAAACGTTGTCTCTTTTATCTTTCTTTTTGTTTTTTACATTACGAAGAGGCGAAAGGCCATGGAAATGCGTCTCATCAAAGGACAATGGGTTCTTTAACAACGTTAAGTACATATTTACATGAATTGTATATGATACTCATGCATATATGCATACATATATATACATGCATCTATGCATTTATATATTCTGATATCTACGTATGTATCCATGTATTGCATTTTTCTATTTATATATGTATGCATGTATGTATGTATCTGTATGCGAATGAATTAGATCTTAGAAAAATATTTCACGAATAATTGTGATCGAAATGATTATCGAATAAAATGATTTGCGAGAGAATAAAACAAAATGCATAACATATATAATATGTTTTAAATCATTTCAAACGGTGTACTTACAATGGGGAATTTTTTCGAGATAAATAATTGAACGTTGTAAGTTTGTTTTTGACCTGGCACAGCCGGGCACGCAGTCATCGTGCAAGCATCACCACTCATTCCTATAAATGGGAGATCAGCCACAGCACTGGCCCAATATGCTCGAGTTTCTAATTTATCTCCGCTAAAGTCTGAAAAAAATAAAAAACAGATTTTGTAATTAATTTTAATTATATTTAATTACAATATGATGATGATAGATTTATAAGAATAAAAAAATTGTATATATCTATATAATAAACATATTAGGCGCGTTAATAATTAATTTTGTGACGATTAAATGAATCAAATTTGAATGTTACGGATTATGTAAATATAGATATACTTAATATAGTTAAATGTGCGACTTGAAAGTAATATGGCAATTATAGTGAGTTAAGCAACCTACTTACTCAGTGTATAATCAAAACTTATGCTCGAATTATATCCCCTCCTAACTCGGCACGGTTTTTCTTCAGCTGCTTCTCTGCAAGGATCCACTCGTACCTCGTGTATAGTGCAATTGGAGACTACATCGGCTGTAGAAAAACAAAATTATTATACCCCATTAACGTTAAGTTTCCGTATTCAATTTCAAAAAGATTCCAACAATTTTCTACAATTAACATATAGTATACTAGTATTCCTATAATTTAAAAAAGAAAAAAAGAAAAACAAAGGAACATTATTAAATTCATAATTAATTTCAATATCGATTAACGATAAGAGATATTTTTCGAATAATCGTAAACGTTGAGTGTATTTTATTTCGTTCATTGGAAAATCATACGAATGATTTTATTCTTGAAACAAATTCATATTAAATATTTACAACGATTATCGCATATCTTATTTTATACGTATTTTAATTTAATTTTATTTACAAAAGTTGATAGAAAAAAAGGTCGACAAATAAATTAAATCATTTAATTCGAAAATTAATGAAGTTAAATTAGATTTGTTTAAAATAATATTTGTAATTTTCGATGAATATTTTATATGGATGCAATATATTATTTAAAATATTTATATTAACACACAAATTCGATCAAGTCTTTTTATTACGTTAGAAAATTATCGTATACAAATTATTTCAGTGTGACGTAATTTCGTAGAAATAACTAAACTAAACTGAAACTAGATGAAATCGATGCGCCGGTCAACGTACGCTGACCTTTACGACATTTGATAAGCAAAAAATAGAAAGAAATTAACGAGTAAACATTTTTACTTGGTTTATCTATTTTGTAATCGTTCAGTACCAATGTACTCAAAAATAAGCAATATGTATTTTTCCTTTTATGTAAACAATTAATAAATAAACACTCCTTGAGTGCATTTTAAGTACTGACGAACGTAATTTTTTTTACGATTTTTTTTTCGATAATTTCGATGCTGTTGGATAATATTTTATTTAACGATTAACTACTAAATGAATGAATAAGTATCGAAAAACTGGTTATTAAAAGTGTAAATTCAATAAAATTACTAGGAAATTGTAAAAAGAATTTATTGCCCATCTTAACAATTGAAGAAACATTTAGTGAAATATAAATTTCTATTTTAATGAACAAATTTCAACATATAATAATCCATTAAAGAGAATATAATTTAATTAAGGTAATATATCTCAATTTTATTATCGCCATTACATATAATATATTTTTCCAAACGCATCCGTTCAAATTTAATTTGAAATATTACAATCTCGTATAACAATTCGATGTTATACTTATGTAAATATTTCGATGATACGATACGAAGAAATTATTTATTAAAAATTTAAAATCGGAAAAAAACTTTTAGAGCAACTCAATACTTAATATCATTAGATTTTCCAAAAAAATTCGTGATGATTTAAAGACAAATGTATTCAACCATTACAAATATTAATCAACCCATTAATCAGCCGAACTTATTGGGCAACCCACATCTACACCCTTCTTATCGTTCACATATATATGTACACCCAATTCTGTTTTTAAATTATTCAATACAATCGACCCAAATTGTAAGAAGAAAATTTTGAAAAAAAACTCATTATTTATTGGTATTATTTTTGCTGATTTTTCTTAAAACCAGAACGAATCTTTTATTTTTCGAATACTGTAATATATATATAAATTTTACACGAATTTTCGTTAAAACGTTGGGTACATAT